AATATTCTAGTAGCAATTCTCAAAAAACGTGATTCCATATTCTGAGAAAATTGGAAATTGGAAATGTTAATATTAACTTAACTATGAAAATGAATTGATCATTGCTCAAAATGAAGACAAAACAACTTATGATCAAATGAAGTCATTATAATTGACAAATGATTTTTATAATTCCATTTTATGATGCTTCTAATGATATCAGTTTTGTTTATTAGTAGCGAGCAGTTTCAATATTCTGAGGACAAGGACTATATAATAAATGCTTCAAACAGTGGGTATATGCATAAGATTCAGTCGCAATGGTGAGCATGAGTGATGCACAGGTTCAGAAGCCAAGCAAGGTAAATATCGAAGCAGTGAATGTCAATGAATAAGAAATGACGGAAATGAGGCCTTTTTATCTCTTTGCAACACAATAGTGCCAATCTCTAATGGCAAAGATCTTGGGCAGGCAAACCCATATAGATAAAGTTTGTATTTTATGCAAATAAATGGCTATTCCTTTTGGTCAAGAGACTAAAGATCTGTCAACAAATGAATTGCACAGCACTGGATTAGCATAAATTGGAATCACTGAAAGTCGCACAGACGCATCTCGGTGAAATGCATCAAGATGATTAAGCTTCCCAATCAGCTATACCTACACAACCAGTATCAACAATGGAATGAAACATAAAGCTTAACTTGTGATGATGATGATGGTGATGATTTTCTATACGCACTTTATCAACTCAAATGAGTATGATTGCAATCTTATTTGTTCAAATGCTGACATCAAACAAAAGTCTTGTGATCATTTTCTATTTACCTCGAGACAACTTAATTTCCTGCTTTAGAAGAGTAATTTCAACATTTATTTAGAATTCCTTATAAGGGTGGATGGCCGATTCATCCAATGAGATGACCACCTGCCAACATAGTTGGCTTCATAGTTCGCAGCTGATAGAGCACTGCATATGCAGCAACAGTCATGTGTTTTATTCCCATTGAATCCCGAACGTTTTCGGGATATCCATAGATTAACAATTTCATAAATTGGTCATGTTTCACTGTGATGGCGATTCAGTTACAGATTAGTCTATTGTTTGCTTGGTGGGTTTGTTGCTGTGGATGTCGCCATTACTATGAACTTCTTCTTCAAGTTCATTTTACTAATGTGTTTCTTTCTTACTCTTTGTTTGGGTCAAGTGTTCTTTAAACTCTTCATAAACGGCCATTTTTTAATATATGTGGTATAATGCTGCATGTTCCTTGGGCTTGAYTCTTATTGCCCATCATGATGTAAGCTGTTTGTATTGATGAAATCCGTGAGGCTTTTGGTCTACGGTTGCTCGYGATGAAGAGCGTGTTTTATAAATGAATTTGTCACTTGTTGCAAGTGATAGTCACCTGACTTCCAACTTTTACTGGTAACTAGACTTA